CAGCAGCCTTGTAGTTGGTTTTCAGTATTTCTTTGTCGATTTCTTGTATGTATGCTTCTGTAAGGAGCCATAACAGTAAGGGGAGATCCAGATGTGATCTATTCTGCTGACTATTCCGTCTTTGTTACTCCATATGTGTTGTGTGCTGTGAAAGTTGGTTTCCCTGAAGGTGTCAGTGAACTGATTGGTTGCTAACCATCAGATTAGTTTTCCAGTTGGTGCATGTTGTTTTACTTTTGGAAATTTTGATCTGGGCATGTCTACATTGGAGTTGGTGACTGAATTGAAGTCTCCTAGGATTATTGTGTGGCTGTTTGATGTTTTTGCTTCATTAGCGAGCTTTGTAATTTCTTGGGTGCCTTGAGATGGGAGGTAAACGGCAATTATTCTGAGTTTTCGTTTGAACTTGAAGAAGAGGTCAATCATGACGATTCTATCCTTCCAGATTTGTTTTCTGAAAATGTGTTTTGCCAGGCTTTTTTCTATTAGTAGTGCGACTCCAAATCCCTTGGATTGATGACTTTCATTACTCCAGGTGGTCTGGTAGTTGTCGAAGTGGATGAAGTTGCCTTCTCTGTTGTTTATATTTGTTTTTGTAAGGGTGAGAATATTTGGTTGATGCTTGTTAATCCATTCTGTCCAGAGCTGTAGCTTTCTGGGCTTGATTTGAGGCCTCTGGTGTTGGTTGTGAGAAGTTTCCAGGTGTGTCTTGCTATTGAAAAGTTTGGGGTGTTGGGTTGTAGTTTATGTGCTAAGGTTGTATTATTTGTTACTGTGTTGCTTTATGTGTTTGTTGATTTTGTGTTATTGTAGAGTTCTAGTGGTTGTGGATTGTTGTCTGTGTTGGATGTTGTCTCTGAGTTATAGTTTGTGCTTGTGTCGAGAGTATCGGGAATGTTGTTTGCAGTTGTGCTTGTTGTTGTGTGCTGCTGTACGTGTGGTTTTTCATTGCTGTAGTTGGAGTCTGAGTCTGACCATGTTAATATTGTTTCAAGTTGTTGTGTTGTTAAGGATGGGTTGTTAAATTCGTCGATTTGTGGGTTGCTTGTAGTGTTTGTATTTGTATTTTGATTATTGTTGAAATTGCTATATGCATTACCCATGTTTATTGTTGGTTGGTATTGTTTTTTGTTGGGATTTGCATCATTGTGTCCATTGTTAAGATGAGTTGGTTTATTTTATTTTGCATTCCATCAATGGAGGAGAAGAGTTGTGTCTGGATGTTTTTGAGATCTTAAAAGCTGTTCTCGGATGTTGTTTGTGTGTTGTTGAGGTAGGGTGTAGATGGTAGCTCCTGTGAGTTTGGTATTTGTTTGCTTTCTATTGATTCGTAGAATTCTTCGTTATAGTATTCAAGGTTAGTAATACGTTCGTCCAGGTCTGCGACTTGATGTTAGATATCATTCAGTTGCTGTTGAATTTCTCTGAGAATGTGTGTGATATCATTGAGGGTTGTGAGGTTGTCCTCTTCTGTTTTAGTTGTTTGTGAGACTGCACTTGCGTATGTTCTTGCACTTGGTATTCTTGGTTGTCTGGGTTTATAGAGATTGTGAATTGTTGCTGTTTTTGCTGGTGTGAATTTGTTGTATAGGTTTCTGAACTTGGTTGCTTGGTTTTTGTTGTAGGTTTCCCATTGATAGTGTCTTTCTTTGGTGGAGCATTCTTTGGCTAGGTGGGAGGTTGCATTACAAATTGCGCAAAGCTTTGTTGAGATTGGAGCAAAGGAAAGAGTTGTTTCTCCTAGGGTGTATTGTGTTTGGACTGCTGTTAGTAAGTCTTCTTGTGTTTCAAAACTTATGACTGCGAATCTCTTGGGTTTGTATCCCCTGTTTGCAGATCTGGGAATGTAGCACGTGCGACCTTTGCATTGTGTGAGTATGTTTTTAATGTCCCATGCTATTGTGTTGGAGGGAAGGTTTGTCAATTTTGCTGCGATTTCATGTCTTTGTTTCATTTGTTTGAGTGTCCACATTGCATCGTTGATTCTTATTGAGTCTCCTTTAATGAGTATGTTTCTAGTTTTGACCAACTTTTCCTTGTGTTCTGGGTCTTCAAAGGTGATTGTGGCACATTGCCAGAGGTTTTGCGTTTTCATGGTGATTCTTTGGATTTGGCCATATTTGGAAAAGGTCTGTTTCATCTTAATGAGTTTTGTATTCAGGGGAATGTCCCATACTATGATAGAATTTTCCTTATTAATATCTTGGCGACCGGTTTCCATATGTGAAAGTTTGTTGTTGTCCATATCGGGGAGTTCTATGGTTGTGGCACGATCTGCTGCATGTTGATCTGCAAAATGGCAATGATGCTCATGTTCTCTTTTTTCCTCTCGCTACACACAGTAAGTAATCCTTCAGGCAAGTTGAGAGTGAGAATGATGTGTTCAAGTTTTTAATGTATAGTTTTCCCTTTGACTAAGTGTGCTGGGATGCCAACCTTGTAACGTTCTCAGCCATATCTAATTGTTCTGTCAAATGGGAATCTTGGTCTTGGTCTGTCTTGGGGTTGCCGGCTTCTCTACCTTTACCTTTCAAAGCTGTGAACCAGTTTAGTTTGGGAGTTTCTCTTTCTTCAGTGTCCATTTCCTCGTCTGTATCATCGATCCTGATTGATGTGAGATTGTTGTTAGCTGTATTGGTCTCTAGGTTCTCATGTTGTTTATCTGTTTCGTTGGTTGTTGCAAGGTGTGTTTCCACAAGGTCGCTCCATGAAAAGGATGGTGTTGAGGATTCTTGGTTCTGTTGTTGTTGGTCATCTTGTAAGGCTTCTGTTGTGTGTTGGTGGTGGGGGTTTCGTTTGTGATTAGTTGGTTGCTTTTGGTAATTGTGTTTGTTAGTTGAGGTGTGGGTTTCTTTATTGCTGCAGTGGTGGGCTTCTTTGCGTATGGTTGTGTTTTAGAGATGCCTAGGTCTTTGCCTGCTCTCCTTTCATATCTTAGAGTGTGTTCAGATGTAAGGGGAGTGGTACTGGAAGCTTTGGAGCTTCTGTTGTAGCTTGACATCTTTCCTTGACTTTCGTTCTGTGAATTTCCAAAAAAGGAAATTTTTAAAAAATCTGTTGTGTACAGAAAAGAAAGATCTGTAAATTATAAGACATAAAAAGTATAAAGTAAGATAATGATATAGAAAAAATGAGACATATCCAAAAAGGCTATCCACCTGAAGAAGGTCACTAACCAAGAAGTGATCACGCAAGAGGTTACTATTCATGATGCAAGATCGATGAATCGAATAATTAACCTGTGTCATTATCAAACTTGAGCCAAATATATATGTCTCTTTCGATAAGGAGTCATTCCTTATCATAACATGGCATAGGAAAAACAGAAGCGACAAATTCACTGTGTTTTACCGTAACAGTATTATATATCTATATTAATATAATTAAAAATTATATATTAGTTTATATTTTTTTAGAAGTTGGAAATAAGATAAGAAAAATATTACATAACCATTGGATAAAAATATATCACCTTGTAATAGCAATTGCTAATTTACTGAATCCCTTTTATCTTGGTAAAGATTTTCTTACTGACGGCATGATAATAATTTCAGAATTTATTTATCAATATTATTCACACATCACGAATATTATATGGAAACAACTATTTCAATATAAAACGTAAACTGTAATTTTTAATATTAAATTAGCTTGGAATACTGTGGGAAAAATCAATCCTGTTATATGGTGAAAAAGCAATTTTGATACCTTAGTGCTACAACTTTGTGAATTAGCTATTTGAATTTTCACAATTCCATTATCTTCAATTGCTTCAGAATGCAATTGGTCTAATTTTTCATATATACAGGATAAAAAATGAAATTGATTAACAAATGAAAGATTATTAAAATTAGTTTATATTTATAACAATTATAAACTTATTTTATCTCATCTTGAATCAGTTGATATTATAGAATCTTTTTTTTTTTTTTTTAAGTTGAACAGCATTAGATGCAAGTCTTTATTGATACTAAACATATCTATACAATACATCAGACATTTTCTGTAACTGTTACACTACAGCTTAATACTAGCCTATCAACTATTTTTGCCCATTAATGCTAATCTGACACTAAAAAGAATTAATTTATAAAATCATTAATATAAAATTATATATAGTAACAAAAAGTATATTATTTTTTTTAAATTTAATACAAAAAATATTAAAATATTTGATTTTTTTTAATTTTTAAAAGATAAAAATTTTTCAATAATAATATTATTAAAACAAAATTTATATTAGATTAGATAATTTAAAATCAACAATAAAATTTTCATCTTTTAAAAATTCTATCTAATATATAGATCTATTTACTTGTTATTAAACTTATATGTTAAAAATGTTTATAGATAATAAGTAGAAATGAATTTAAATAAATCTTGATATACAGTATGTATAATTACTTAACAGAAACTATATACATTTTTGCTTTCAAAAAATTTTTTATTGTTTTTATTTATTTGAATTTTTCAAAAAAATTTTTATATAAGCAAAATATTGATCTTTCTTAAAATATAATAAAATATGCTTAAATAATTATATTGTATAGTATTTTATGCAATAATCTTTTTATTCCTTATTTCAATTTATATAATAAAAATACTTTTAAATCGGTCTTTGTAACGTATTCTTTAGAAGTTCACATGACTATTATCTCCTTGTTTCGTAAATTCCTTTTTTTTAATACTAACCATAAACATGTTTCATTAGTTTACTGCTAATTTAAATATAACTTGGTTTCCGAGATCACCCGAGTTAACTATCCACGCGACTTAAGATAGACATTCTATTTACAAATTTAACATAATAAAGTAAACACTCTAGGATGTGAAAGAGATAATGTTTGTATTTGTGCATATATACTCACGTGATAAATCAAACATATCAGTCACTATTGTGTGACGTAAGGATAAATAGTTCTGGTTTTCTGATTTCTCATGATTTTACAATTCTTTATCATTATTATTGTTATTCACGATTCTTGTTTTCATCTTTCTACATGGATGAAAAATTATGGAAAAGTGTATCCCAGAATTATATGCAATTGCTCGAAGATAAAGATACATGTGATGTATCTATTGCTGTTGGTAGTGGAGATGATATTAGAACTTTTAAAGTGCACTCGCTTATTCTCCGTGCCCAAACACCTTATTTCCACACCGCGCTTTCGGCTCAATGGGAGAAAAGAAAGAATGGGCAAATAGTTTTGGAAAAGCCGAATGTTTCTCCAACAATATTTAATGATATTCTCTTGTGAGTATATCTGCTCTTAAATAAATACAGCATTATATGCATATAAGTATAATGAATTTTCATGCCTTTTGTGTATAGATATATGTATTCATCACAAATAAATTTATCTGGAAAACCAATTCAACATATTCTTGACATATTATCGGCGGCCGACGAACTCATCTTACCAGCACTCACGGAATACGTACAGAATTATCTTACACAGAATAAAGTATCATTGGTACAACAACACCCTGTAGAGGTTTTGAAAACACCATTTCAAAATGACGCGTGGAAAAAACTTCAAAATTATTGCATATCGACAATTTGTGCTCAACCATGGATGTTGTTTGAGTCACCTCTCTTTTACCATTTGGATTCTTCAATTCTTCTGGCAATATTACAAAAAGATGAATTACAAATGGAAGAAGCTGACATATGGTATCGAGTCATATTATGGGGAACTATGCAAGATGAATTGTTACCCGATGATGTTGCTGACTGGAAACAGCGAGATTTTGATAGCTTAGGCAGTGTCATACAAAAATTTTTACCGCACATACGGTTCTTTCAAATGTCAGCAGAAGAATTCGATTCAAAAGTATCACCATATAGACCCATTTTTCCTGATGATTTATATGAAGATATATTGTGGAACTTTATTAAACCTGATCGCCCTAAAAAGAACCAAGTACTTCCGAAGCGACATCATCCTTACACCAGAGGTAATATAGTAATAAGTTATCGAACAGTGGAAGATGGAAGTTGATTTAGCATTAGTTTCATTTCGAATGCCGGCAACTAATGTGCTTCAGTTACAATAGCAAATCAATCAAAAATTGCTGCATATCGTGTTTCTTATTCGAAATACGGTATGAAATTATTTGTATTACTCATTATTGTTAATAGATTTTTCAAAAGATTTAAATATGTCAGAGGAAATTTCTTAACGATGTTAATTAAATAATTGACAGCAAACAAACCGGGTGCCTTCAGGAAGGTTATCATCGGACCATAAAAAGAAGAAACCCCCCACCCTTCTCGGTAAATAGAATAACGGTCTTAGGTATAATTTAATCATAATTTATTGTTATTTTCGTTGTAACTTATTTCTCTGTTTAGACAATGGGATTGTCCGTACATAGAAAAATTTGTTTATTGAAGTTACTACACACATTGGTTCAAGAACATTTAGGAGACACAAATAGTCGATGTAAAACATCTACCTACATCCTTGATCCCTCACAACTCGAGTTTGTGGAATATTAGATTTCTAAGTTAAAATGCGAAATTTTGGACTTGTGCATTGGACAGGACAATAAACAATCCTCTACGAGAGTCATTTTCTCTTCAACATTATAATTTCGGGAGATTTCGTACATGTCAGATTAGAACATTTAGATAAAAGACATCACATGTTGAAATTTTTCCTCGACGAGGTCGTGTAGTGCAATATACTTTACCGCTGTTCTATAGTTTTTCCAAGGATGAAGTAAACAACTAACAACTAAACTCCAAATACACCTTTATACTGGATTCTCTTTCGCTGGATGATATACAGTATACCTGCGAGGAAATAAAAATTCGCGTCCTAGTAAGAGCAAGGATGTCAGAAGATGTCAGTATGTAATAGTAGATCATTTAACCAAGTGGTTAATGCAAATTTTCTGTACAAATATAGTTCATAAATAGGCCAATAAAAAGATTAAAGTAGCAAATTTTGCAAAATAAGGGCAAGTCTATTGCTATCAAGTGAAATGGTCTTGAATTGGCATCAATCAGTCATTCTCGAGTCTGGTATATTTACATTAGCGATACACAAAAAAAAAAAAAGATAAGAAATTAGGTATCTACGCGAACTATTTATTTTCAAAAATTTACTTTTATCGCAAGGGGTTCCTAATTTGGAAATAGCGTGAATTGATAACCTACTGTATACGTTTAAAAATAGATGCGTCGCTTAATATGTAGAAAAAATTTATTAAATCTGAATGCAAATAAAATCCATCTCGTTCTAAGTTCAACAATATATACCATAATAGATTTTATATAAATAGAATATACAAAAATTCAATAAAATTTGTTTTAATATCTTATTTTGTATCCTTTATTTAATCAATATAATATTATTTGCATCGCTTTTAATATTTTATTTATGGGAATATATTCTGCTAATCAATAATTTTATTAATATAATTTTAAAAAATCAAATCGTAAACTAACCATCAACAGATTGTTCATTGTTTACACTTTTTTTTTAAATAAATCTGTTTATTTTATTATTATTACTTATTTGTTGTTATAAGTAGTAATCAAATATGATCTTTGAAATACGAATCATATGCAACTTATTACATAAAATTCGTAAATCATATAAATTAATTTTTTTAAAAACTACGATTTTCAAATTCAGCAAATTATCGATTTTTTAAATTCAAATCACAGTTAGATCTGTTGCATTAAATTAAATATACATTGTTTATTTATAGGAGTATAATTTTAAAAAGGAAAAAAAAAAGTTCATAAATGCTATATAATATTGACTCAAATTTATATGCACAGATTAATTATAAGAAAATCAGCTAAAAATAAAAAATCTTTATATATGATTATATATAATTTTTTTTTTAAATTAAATTCATAATTATCATTTTAAAGGAATATTCAATAATCACTTTTCAATTTAATTTTCAATTTAATAATGCATGTGATTTAACAGAAAAAAAAAAAAATCCAATTAAAAAAAATTATTTCATTTAAATTAGATTTGATATATACTGTATACTGTATATTTATTTGGATATAATTCTTTTTTTTTCACGTAATTATCGATGATTTTATTAAAAATAATTGATATTATAATTATCTCAAAGAGATTCATACAAGGATTAACAATAATATATCTGTTTTTTTTTTAAATAAGCAAATAAATAATATTTCTTATAAAGATATGTATATAGATTATGATAATAATATCCTATAATATATATATATATGTATATAATAATAAAAATATTTTAATCTATTTATTTTATTATTTTTTTAATATAAGATAATGCAATGCAATTTCAGGTATTACTTTTGCTTCGATCTACATGAAACCAGTAATGTAAATTGGTCAAAGTAATATTAATTATTAAAAAAACAAATAAAAAAAATTTTTTTTTTATGATAAGTATTACTTGTAAATAATTGCAGTATATTGAACAAAGTTATTATATCATTCGTTTTCGAATTATACGATGGAAATATGGAAATAAATGGGGAAATCTAAACTTAAACGTAATTTTACGGACCGACAAAACATCCTATCTTAAGTCACACTATTTCTAAAAATAGAATTATCCGTTGGCGAACCAATAAGTTTCCAAGGTCTAAAAACACTTAAATGTGTCAATTACGATCACGACATCGGGAATTTTGCAAATAAATCAACTCTCTAATCTGTGTTATAAACTATATATATTATGTAATGAATTAACTAATCGGAATCTAATCAATGTTATTATGTTATTACCAAGTACAGCAGATTGAATGTTTGCAGACGACCATCATATTGTTTGCTCGTATTTCCAAGAGGAAACAAAGAGAACAATGAATCCCAATGGTGTATCTCCACAATAAGAATTACACTTAGTTCTTAAGTCGAACGGGATCTAATATATATTGGGAAAGGTGTATATTACAAAATTCATTAATTTTAAAAAAATATATTAGGTTTTAGATTGCTGATCTGTTCTTGGGATATGCAGAGAAGTTGAAGAATTCACACTTAGTGTGATATACACCAATGATTTTTCGTTCATCTTGCAATTCAACCATTTAGAATTTGTACTTTTAGACCAACTTAAGTTGATCGATATTATAGATAACCAAACGGAATCTCAGAAATTTAGCGATCGATTTCGGTTATATTGACCGAGTTAGGAAATAATGTTAGTGTGAAAAAACTACAGTTGCGACGTATCTATTTGTTATTTTGTGAAAACCATTTTTATTATAAATACCTTCGAATTGTTGAGCCGAAGAAGCGTCACTCTAAATCAACAGAAAATAATTGCAAATTTAAGAATGTGGAAGTTATTTGAAGAATTATTCACTTTACGCACCTTTTTTTTGTCACTAGTACTCTTCGTTGCTGCACAATTTCTTAAGAAGGCTCAAAAGAGAAAATTGGCAAGCTACAATTTATTATAGTAAATTGGTTGTTATTAAATTAAAATGATGACACGTTCTCTCGCGTTTGCTCATGTTAGAATGAACCACCACTTGTCAAATACAAATATCCACTTATTGGTCATACTTGGGATTACCTTAGTAATGTAGGCGATTTCATAGCAAAATGCAGAGCGCAGGTAATTTGAGTATTCATCCTATTTATTATATTTATTGTACAAAATCGTACGTCCAATTATTGAAAAAAATAAATATCATTCCTTTAAAAACCAGTATGGGAACATCTTTACTATTAATGTTCATGGTCGAATGTTGACAATCGTTGGCAAGGAATATGCTCATGAAATCTTCGTTTCGAAAGATTGTTCATTTGCGAGGGGATTTGACGAGGTTGGTATAAACTCCCATTGAACAATAACACCAAAAAAAAAATTAAAATTTTTTTTACAATCTCGAATTCATTTATCTTCGGTGCAGATAACACCGTTAAACGAAATTTTAGGATTAGAAAGAAATTTTACATCGGCGACTGCGGAACTTGTCCGTAAAACTCTCATGGATAATGTCGATGTATACACTCATCATTTCCAAAATGTTCTGCACGAGAAGGTTGAAGAGGAATTCGGCAATCTCGAGACGAAAAACGTGGATTCTCCTTTGGACTTTGTGCAAGACATTGTTTCTAAGACTATGGCTTCAATTCTTCTTGGAGAGGTATGTATTGATGGTTTGGTGCGTCGAAAAATCGACAGTATACTCTCAACAAGAACGTCTCGTATATCTTATTTCTTATTCGTCTTCAGGAAGCTAGACGAGTTCCTGAAATGATGAGCATCCTATTGGAAACTTCCAGAGTAATCGGCGAATCTTGGTTCATCCCCAACACATTATCATACATTCACCCCTACTTACATAGGCTACGTGTACTGTGGACAGTTCGTCGTGCAGGTGACATCCCCCAAAAAAATATGGCACTACTTGCTCAACTCATTAAACCAATTGTGGACGATCGAATTAGGAAAGAGAAGACATTAGGCAGCTCGTGGAAAGAGCCTGTAGATTTGTTAAGTGGATTGATCAATAATAAAAGAATTGACAAGTCGAATGTTGACTACAGGTGGATCGCGGTTCATATTCAGCTTATGGTGTTTGTTGCCGTGCACTCAACTGCCGCTTTTGGAGCTAATTGCTTGATCGGCATGTATAATATTGTTGTAGTCGTACCACTCGAATTCCGATTTTGACCCTAGTCATAAAATTGATTCACAGATTATGCGTTCAACTCAAGAAACTGGGAAGAATTACTTGAAGAACAGTTGGAGGTCAATCCTGAAAATAAAAAGATTATCACCAATGAAGAAACTAATAAAATGGAAAGAATGGACAGTTTCATTAAGGAATCATTAAGGATGTCCGGTGTCGTCGGTAAGTTTTTCGTTAATGTTCCACCAGATTTAATCACTTTTTATATATAGACATGATCACTTACATCGCGAAAATCTTAAATTAGTTGACATGTATCATAAGGTTCTCGAATCTGGATTCCAATTCAGCAACGGCTATAGTCTTCCACCCGGTAGTATGATTGCTATTGATAAGAATAGTATTCATTTCGATCAAACCTATACATTCGGAAATCCATTGGAGTTTGATGGAAATCGTTACTTTCAAAAGGATTCTCCATCCACTAAAGTTGGAAAGACGTATATTGCCTTCGGATTGGGAAGACATGTGTGTCCAGGACGTTTCTTTGCCGTCCTCGAGATTAAACTGTTGATGGCACATCTGATTCGAAGTTTCGTGATAAAGCCCGTAGGTAAAACAAGGATTAAAAATTTAACATTCGCCGGATTTATTATTCCTTTTGATAAGCTGGTCTTCGAGAGAAGAACGAAATAAGATTATATTCCGCATAAGCGTGGATATAAATTATATCAACTTTTTAATTTCCGGAATGTGTCACTTTTAAATCGACAATGTAATAATATGTGGATAGAAACACAAACGTTTTTTTCGCCAAACAACACCAGCCGCAACATGTAAACATACTGTACGTGCATCACACAAATTTATTGGATAACCTCATATAATAAACCGTAACGAAGCCTTCAGGCTAATTAGTAAAAATTGAAAAAAATTGTTTAAAAATTCGGCATAAATAATTTTTAAAAATTTATATAATAAAATTCCCTTTTTATAATGATTTTTGAGTAAATTCAAAATTCAAAAATTCGTTATAACCAACATTTTATTATAGCTTCGTTATAAACAGGTTCGTTATATCCAGGTTTGACGGTAATTCTTTTTCGAAATTTGAATTTATTAAAGCAAACTGTTTACATAAAAAACTCGCAGACATTTCCACCAAACAATAAAACTCTAAAATCCATGGAAAACAATCTACTCATATACTCATTTTGCTTATGATGGAATTTATTTGGCGTCTTTCTCAAAATCGATTCCCTTGTACCTTTCAAGATAGTAATCTTAAATAATTCCAAATGAGAAATTGATGTTGATCTAGTATTATTGGAAATGAATAATCCTTCGTCAATGTCTTTTACGGAGGTGTCGTCGTTTAGTGGGGCCTATGTATAATGAATTGATATGTTAAAAGCTATGACCGGGCAGTGGATGTTGTAAAGCCTCATTTAATTCATTCATCATATTTTCTCACCATCCTCAAATTCGACTCTTCCACCACGTATTGGGCGTTAATTTGAGAATCTTGATCGCATATTATGAAAGACAAGTGTTAAATGGTTTAGTCTAGAATTATAAAGGCGATAATTTTGAATATATCGGATAAAGTGATCGATTTACTTGATGTTAAATGAGCCAAAAGAAGTATGAGGAGATTTATTTGTATCTTCATTACTAGTGAATGGAAATAAATAATTTCGGATAGGGTTAAAATCTGTCTTATTATACGGGAAATAAACGCAAGCTTATCGATGCTTTTATCGTTTTCTGGCGCATGGCAACCTAATCAAATACTTTGATAATTTAAATTTGAATTTAAATGATTGATTAAAATTCGACTCATACAGTACGACTCATTTGATTGTAATTCGGGTTTGGGTCGGGTCGATCATCAACTCGAAGATCATCAAGTTGGATTCGGGTCAGATTCGGGTCATATGTTATGAAATTTGATTGGTCAATCACATGGATGGTTTTTTTGTTAGATACTAAAACATCTTTGTTTTGTAAGCTAGTTTTGGATCTGCCTGATCTGGCTGGTTGCTAACTTTCTCTCAACCAAATTTTTTTCGGAAATATTTAATTTTCTGCTAGAAATCACTAGCTTCGATTTTTCTATTAGTCGCATTAGCGAAATTACAAGTATATTGAATAATCAAGCAACGCGAGGAGTCCATTATCTAAGGTTTGAAATTTATTTAATAATTGTAAGAATACAATGATCTTTCTCTTTTTATATTGATACTAACTTATACACCGCTAACTTTAATCTTTTCCTACAAGCAAAACGAACCTCAAAGATTTTGGTGCCAGGGCACAAAGGGACACCGTAAAAGATTTACAAGCAAAAAAGAAAAAGCACAGGAGAAAAGAGACGAATAAAAGAGGAGAGGTTCGTCTTATATTACCTTTTTTTCTTTCGAGTTGTTTTCCCTTGATATTTTTATTAAATACAATTGTTTCTTTAGTGCATTAAAAAAAATCTATGATATTCTAATGTATTGGCGACTACAAAATATTTTGATGGGTTATCTTACAGACCGCGGACACAAAAGACTCGAGAGACATTCGATTGATCTTAGCATTCGTTCATCAAAACCTCGATGATCAAGTTCATGATATAATTTAAAGTGCTGCAGGCGACATTCTGCAAATTTTTTAAAAATTATTTACTCAAGGATTTTGGCAAGAAAAAGAATTTGAGGAAAAAATAACAGATTATCATCCTGGGGATGTCATGAATGACGGTGAACTTTCATGCGAGGTTGCTGATGAACTTGGGGTTGCTTTAATATTTGAAAAGAGGAAGAAGGTGAATTTGGAAAATGCAAAGTTGAATCCGAAGAGGAAGATGACGATGAAGGTGGTGTGGAAGCATTGACAACAAGTATTGGGCGTTGGTCAAGTTGAGGATGAAGAAGATAGAGAGATTCATTCAGATGAAGAAAACGAAGGGCTCCGAACTGCTATTGGTCCAAATCAAAGGTCACTGGTGTACAGGCTTTAGAAAAATATCTCCGCATGAAATTGATGCTTCTGGCTTCAGCGCTCAATATCAAATTATTACCCAGATCCACACATCGCACAAGAAAAGACGGCAAATACTTGAATCAGACAGAAATACTCGTGACTGCGAAAAGGAATTAATAAATCTTTTTGATAATGACAAATTTGATCTGGTTAATATATTGACAAGAAATAGGAATTAATTTTATGTTGTACGAAACTTGCCAAATCTAGAACAGACAACGATAAGAGACAAAGTATTAACGCGAAATTTATGAGCAAGGATTTGAATGGATTCTTAAAGAACTTGGAGGAGAGATAATTCGTCGTGGTGAAAGAGCTGCCCGGAAAGACGTGGTTGAGAACGCAATGGAAATAGATTCCAGACCATGGTCCAATTTCTGCTTCTGTCAAGGCTACTTTTCCTTCAGTAAAGATGGCAATACCTAAAGCTGTAATTGATCTTCGAATTGCTAGTGTTTACACAAGTGGACATTTAATGTTTAACAAAATTGCAAGCTGTTAAATGGATCTCATAAGATTTCTAATATGTTGAAGATGGTATTGATTTTGCTGAGAGTGCAGGCGAATATACCTTTGTTATTTGTGGGAAGACCGGATGAAAAAAGGTAATGATCATGCATTGCTATGTTTATTTAGGAAAATATTACCAACTCAATTCTGATTTGTCTGATCAGGCTTCTAGTCGTGTGGTCGAGGTTCAGTTTTTTGCCCTCAATCTTCATGCGGATATCAAGGAGAATGACATTTCGCAATTCATAACCAAAGTCTAGCAGAATGCTAGGAGGGGGGAAACCTGGATATTCTTTGACGAAAGAAACACACGTAATAACACTGGTATCCTAGCGGACCTAATAGCTCATCGAATATATCGTGAGAAACCAATTCATCATAATATCTGAATGTTTGCCGCACGCAACCCTTACCATTTGCGAACGGGAAGTGTCAATGTGGCTAGTCTAGAAGCCAAAACATTTGAAGAGCAAAATAACCTTGCATATGAAGTAAGATCATTCCTCAATCAAATTCTTGATTATGTTTGGGATATGGTGTGCTTAAACAGGAGGACGAAGAGCGGTATATTCAGATAATGGAGTTGGATGATCCGGTTCTCTCAAAATTATTATTTAACCATACAGCGTTAGCTTGCGTAATGTCAAACATATCATTAAACATATCAAGTTCTTTTACGAGTCTGCAAAATCGCCCGCTGATTTGTAAGGGTTTGTCAAAGTACCCTTCTATAGCTGGAGATTTGCCTAGCATACAAGTTCGTTCATTTATATTGGCAAAGTCATTGCGTTTGAAATATCGGGAATAATGGTTAACTGTTTAGAATTAAAATATTTTGTACGACTTTCAGTTTATCTTTTGCTCTTTATTTACTCAATATGTTATAAAATATAATAAGTTTAGCTTCAGATTTAACGGTTATTGTATAAATTTAAAAATCACCAGTAGATTAGGCACGGAAGTAAGCAAAGTAAAAAAAATAAAAATAAATCATACACTCGGTACCCCAGATCTCTAATCAAAATAAAGTTTTACAAATTTTTGCTTCTTTTACATTAGGCAAACCAGAAGTCACTTCTTTAAAGAAGTTCTTCGGTGATATGTATCATCTATATTAGGAAATAGGAACTTTTGTATGTATCTCTATATTGTCTAAGCACGCGGCTTGAAATTAAACGCCATCTATCCTAAATACCTTTGTAGCGTGATTGCAGAATTGTCATAGTCAAATCTTGAAGATCGGATCTACCACAAATCTCCATATGACATTGTAAACATTCTTCATCGAATAGATGTCGCCTGTGTATACCAGTTTATTAAATAAGATAAGATTTCGTTTACACTATTCTATAACCAAGTTGTCTTAAGGTTTGATTGATCCGCGTGGATTCTTTTATTGAAGCATTAGAGTAGCAACTGACATTAAATTTCGCCTACACGATACTTGAAATGACCGATCGAACGTTTTCTTTTTTTAAACTCAACTGAAAATACCCGACCCGAAGTTATTACGTAAGCAAATGATCTGACCCGAAATGTAAATTTCGATTCATTCGGAACACGACGATTATCCTTATTGATGATAATGATTTATTACCAAAAATTTATTCAAAATATTTTTGTATAAAAAATTATATACTATATTTATATATTTTCTTTAATAAGGTATATACATATTTTCTTATTATTACAGAATACGGTTATAAAGTTTTATATTATTTAAATAATTCTATAGTGATTTGTCAATGTAAAATTTAATTAATATTAAAAATAATTTATTGTTTTTTTTTGCAGAATTCTGTGTATCGGTATTCGAGGAAAAGGCTTAAGGCCCGAAATCTCCTGAACTTTTGAAATGAATCCTCTTGCTTTTTTAATGCTCTTTTTAGTAATCGAATGAACCTGTGGATATCGAAATTCTTGCAAACTCTTTTTGGTCTTGGCATAATGAATGATCACTTCCAAATACTGATCACCTATTCCCGTTCGACCGAACGTAAATTTTCTCATTTTCCCACCAAAATTAGCAAGGAAATATTGCAATCCTTGCGATGTGCATCCAAAGTTGACCTCCAAATCATCTATGGTTGATGGTAATGAACTTGCAATTTGTCGGAGTAACTCGATCGAGTATGATTTTGCATCCCGATTCACCATCCCCAATGAACGGAGCGGTAATCTTGAGAGACATGAAACATTTTCTAATGATAATGCATTGAAACTAAGGTAAAGGTCGGTGAGATTGGGGCAATTTTGACAGATCACGTCTAAAAGTTTCTGGGTAACACTTTCTTTGTACAGGTAAAATTCTCTCAAGTTATGATTCGTCATACAAATCAACATGCTCATGGAGATAGTGACATCTTCAATATCCTGTGCCCACCCATGACAGATAATTCTCCTGATAGGCAAATTTGTCGATGAATTTGAAAAGCACAAGAGAGATTCCATGTCAACAACAGGAATTTTCCAAAGTTCCAAAGTTTCCAAATTCTTGCAATTCATTAAGAAGGGGAGTAAGGTGCGTAATTCTAAATCGGCGTTAATGTTGAGTGAGGTTAAAGATCGCGACTGGGTTGCGAGTCGTGAATAGAACAAATCGGTCTCTTCGTAATTCCAAATTTGAAGGTTCTTGAGATTTCTCTGAACACCAATCAAATTCCAACACGCCTCATAAGTTTCTAACGGAATGTGGGCTCCTATGTGTAACTTCATATGTTGAATTTTATGTGAACAGCTTGATAATTGTGAAAGTAGATGAGGGATGTAAACGTGCCTCCGCATGTCTAGATTAAATTGAATCTCAAATGTTTCGAGCTTGGAGAATAATAAATGGAAGTTGGTGTAGTTAATTAAGTAATGCATGTATTCCTCGTCTACTTCGTCCTTTAGTGTCAGAACTCTTAGTCCATTACATCGAGTCAAAAGGGAACCGATGAAATGATCAAAAAAATTGGTTCTCTCACGATCTGTGGGATAAAAAGTGTCGATCCACGAACATATTGCTGACAGAAAATTCGACCAGTCAATTCCGCGTAAACATTTCACATAATCAAACAAAGGTTTCTTTGTTTTTTTAGGAAAATACTTTTTTCCTACACGCACGTGAATTAGTTCTTCGGGCATGCAGGAAGAGTACAATTCGAATATAGTTTTTATTTGACTTTTACTTAATTTATCGAAAAATGGGTTATACCATATCAGAGGAATAGCCAACCGACTCCAAGTACGGTTGACCAAGGCACAAGAGTAAAGAGACCCTTTGTTATCCAGAAGATTATTCAAGATTTCCTCCAAGCAATCAATGGTCAAGGGTGGTAGAATGGCGTGTTTGGCCATTATTTCGGGTGTTATAGACGGGTGATGATCTAATTCAACGGTCTCCATGAATGTGGACATGAGTGTGAAGGTGAATATGTATCGAATTTTAATTTATTTATATTCAAAATAGATTACGTAGTAAATGTCCGTTTCTATGGCAACGATATGTAATGCTAGTTGCGCAATAATTGTGTAGAATTTCTATGGTGTACAACAAAAGAACAAAACAATTGTATCCCATTAGAGAAATGACCAATATGGCATGTCTGAACCTTAAAATGTTGAAGGCATTTAAGACAAAGCATACGATTTTGTTAAAAAGTGAAAGAATTTTATCTGATACGCAGTATTCCATGCGTAGCTTCATAAAATGGCTAGGCATGTGCGTCTTTTTCCATCGCGGAACATCATTTCCGGTTTGAGAAGTGTGTACAACGAATTTAAAAAATGATTGTCAAGAGATTTCCGCCTTGGATAAATCTCTCGGAGCCTTCATTAAAACAAAAAATATTGTACTATAGAAATAACTGCGGCGACCTGATGAATCATCGGCAATTGCAAAAAACTCCAAGCAACCAAACACCTCGATATCCCAGTCCTTACCCAATAAGCACAAGTGTGAACGAGCAACAGTTAAATGTTTCTATTGTTCCAACGCCTTTGCAAATGTATCAGGTTGAGCCTTCGACATGTGCACAAATTCCAATACAAGAAGAGGCCTCTCTCCGACTTCAATGGAAATCAAACTCTGATCGATGTCCCGAATGCAATATGCCTTATACTGGATGGTTATGGTGTCAACCCTGTCAGACCGCCAAATTCTCCCAAAACTTTCCCACCTGGACAAGCGGTAACCCAAACGTCGATCATTTCATTCGGAATGTTCAGGTGAACGCTCACCGGAGGGCAAAAACATTAATTTGGATACCATATCACAATTTAAGAGATATCACGTATTTGGCAAAAGGTGGATTCGCAACTGTGTATTCAGCTATTTGGAGGGACGGCCCCGGTTGGGATTGGGGTGAGAATTCTTCCGGGGTTATTACACAACAACCATTACCATTAAGAACAAAGGATGCTAAAGTTGCTCTGAAATTGTTGCATAATTCTTCCGGAATGGATTACGATTTCTTGAAAGAGGTAGGTGTTTATTCAACGTGAGTTGCATTATTCCATTGGGTCGAAATGCTTTATTTGAACTTGTTAAAAATCTGATAGATAAAAACACACATTAATTGTGTATCCTATGCGGTAGTTCAATGTTATGGTCTCTCACAAGATCCAAAGACCAAGGATTACTTAATAGTGATGGAATATGCAAATTATGGAGATTTACGCCATTATATTCACAAACATTATCTGTCGTGGAAACAAATTTTAGATTTCTTGACAAAAATAGCAGCTGGATTATGCACAATTCACCAAACAGGATTTGTACACAAAGACTTTCATTCTGGAAACATACTGATGTTTAGTAAAGATCATCCCACCGTGTTTCCGAAAATCGCAGACCTAGGTTTAAGTGGACCAACGCAGTACAAAGAAAATACATCCGGGAAAAATGAAAAATTGTCGTTTGCACAAAAGTTACCTTCTCCGTCGTCCATCAAATCTTCGGTAGAAATCTATGGCGTGATGCCGTATGTGGCTCCTGAAGTATTCCGTTCCAAGCCATATACTACCCTTTCAGATGTTTACAGTTTTGGCATAGTCATGTGGGAAATTACGGCACGCGTGCCGCCATTTTCGGATCGACAGCACGATGTACATTTGGTGCTTGATATTTGTTTAGGTAAACGGCCAGATATACAACCGGGTACTCCGGATTGTTATGCAAAATTGATGAAGAGATGCTGGAGTGATAAACCAGAGGAAAGACCTAGCATGATGGAAGTGTATAATGAGGTGTTGATGTGGGATAACATAATGAACAAAAGAAACATGAATAGCAATGATACGAACGATGAATATGTTAAATTTTACAAAGATTTTTTGGAGAGCGAGAGTGTTAGGAAACAATTATTTGAGAGCGATTCGATGGTGAAGAGGGTTGATGAATCAGTTCCCAGTGAGCATAAGATGATTTCTTCTACTACCTGTAGTCAAGCGAATCCAATTGTAACAGGGAATAATGAGCGGTATACGAGTAGAGATTTAGGCCAGTATACAAATTATATTACTCGGGCGTATGATGACTTGTCATTAGAATGTGAATAGTTCAGGTAGTAAGCAATTGTGTGTATGCACATAATCAAAAAAACTCACTAAATGTAGTGCTTTGAAGTGCATTTGTCTAATAAACCTACAAAGTTGAATCCTTTTAAAATATTATATGTATTGCTTTGAAGTGCATTTGTCTAATAAACCTACAAAGTTGAATCCTTTTAAAATATTATATGTTTTGCATATGGAAGATAATTGGTTTGTAATTATTTTGGTAAAATACTTTGTAAAACATTTAAAAGTACAATGGATCTAGTGTTGCTTAGAATAACTTATCATTCTTTTTCTTATGAAATTAGGTAAAGTAAGCTTTCTTTTCATACTAAGAGAGTTGCATTCTAAGTTAAGTATATATTTATAAGTTAATACAATATTCTTTTTTCAAAAGTTTTTTAAGTTTTTATATATCTCATATTTGATTTTGTTAGGTCTAGCTGCTTTGTTATTTAATAAGTTTTTGAAAGTTTCTTTTAATTTATTTTTTGAAATAATGTCTTTCATGTTGTTATATCATTCTTCTTTTATTTCAACTTGTAATTCATATTGTTTTTGCTATTGTTTTGTTTTTTTAAAATATATAGCCTACTTATATATAAATAAATTTATTAAAAACATATACTGTATATAGTGTACTAGTTAATATATATAGCTTAAAAAGATTTATTTATTTTTAATGTTAAATAAGACATTTCTTATGATCTTTATTAATTGAATAAAAGATGTTACATAATTAATTTTTAGATTTTGAAATGTATTGCTATATATGTTAGCCTACTACTTTTTAACCAACATATTCAAATAAAATTATTAAAATTATTGTTTTTTTTAATACAATTTTTACAAATAACTTTATCATAATAATATTATTATACTATTTTAAACTTTTAAAACTTTTTACTTAAACAAAAAACTAAAATTGGTTTATTTTCTTTAAATAATTATTGCTTTTCAATTATACAGTCAAATTTTATTAAAATATCAAAACAAAAACTAACCTGTTTAAATGAATTTTTAATTCAATAAGAATATAATAATAATAAATATTAATTATATTTTAAAATTCATATTAACAAAAGTTATATCAATAAATAATAAAAAATTAAAAAAAAAAAATTATATACCTATATAAAAAAATACTTAAAAATATTACTTTTATTTTTATAAATTTTATAGTTTCTTTAACTCAGTTTTGGTTTTTAGTAATTTTTGATATTGTAACTTCAATTTTATTTCTACATTTATTTTTTATTTTATTCTTATATTTTATTAAATTTTCTAAATAAATAAATATAATTGTTATTAGAAATAAATATTATTGCATAATAACATGCATACATATATGCTATATTATATAATCCTGTACATGTATATATCTTTGTATAACTGATATACCCATAAAACATTTATATAAAATAATTATATAGATTAAATAAAAATAATTTTAAAAAATGCTATTATTAAATTCAATCTTGATTTATTTTAATAAACTTGGTTACATAACTAGCTTTTAACAAAAAAGAACAGAATGTAAAAAATGCAAATATCAAATTAATTATGCCTTATATGCAGCTCAAGCACATTTTAAAAAATGTGACCAAATTACAATAAAACAATAATAAAAATATTTTGAAGATTTTTATCAAAAAATAACAAAAATATTTTGAAAATTCTTGTCAAAAAATAACAAATATCATATCTAATAACAATGGAAATAAAAAAATTAATACTATTATATAGTATCTATAAAACAAAAATCTCTTGAATTAGAATTTATACAAGCAATATTTCATTGTGGTTTATTTTTATTATTATTGAAGATAGAACCAATTAAAAATTTTTGGAAAAAAGCATAATCATCTTTTAAATTACCTAGTCAAAAAAAATTATTTACAAAATTAATAGATATCATATATAATAAAACCAAAAATGAAATTGAATCTTTACTTAATAAATACAACAACTTGTGTTTAATTTCCAATAGATAGTATTTATATTTAATTTTAATATAATATTTAATAATATTTATTTATTATTTAAATTTAAATATAATATAGATCTAATTTAGTACAAGAATACTAAACAAATTTCATCTTAATGACACCAACATTAATCTTTTATTTTGCTCATCCAACTAAAAATAAATATCAAAATAGTATTACAATTGTCCAAGATTTATTTAATATAATAAAGGAAATCAATCAATCAAAAATTTCAGTAATTATTATCAATAATGTGTTTATAATGAAAAAAGCATAAAAAATATTAAAAATTAAATATCCTACAATCATATTTTTGAAATGCATTGCATATAGTTTAAATCTTTTGATTAATAACATTATAAAAATATTATAGTGTACTTATTTAATAAGAAGATCTAAAAACCTTATTAAATTCTTTAAATATTATCAAATTCTTACAGCAATTCTCAAAAAATATTAATTAGCTAGTTATAATTATTGAATCTTACTTAAATATCCAATTAAAACATATTGGAATCTTTGTCATGTATTTAAATTCTATTTATAAAAATCAACTCACTTTAGAATTAATAAACATTGAAATATCATATAATTATATAATCAACATTCCTGAAACAGTTTCCAATACGATTAAAGACAAATATTTTTAAAAAGATATAAGATATTTACTTACTATACTTGATATTTTAGTTGCTAACATTGCAACTTTCAAATCAAATTCATTACAACTTGCACTTTTTTATTATTGATATCAACAATAATTAATATCAAGTGGTATAGTAATTTTTTATTTATTAATAATAATATATTATATATCTATATTAACATAATTAAAAATTATATATTAATTTATATTTTTTTAGAAGTTATAATAAGATAAGAAAAATATTACATAATTTTTGGATAGAAATATATTATCCTGTAATAACAATTACTAATTTATTGTATTCTTTTTATCTTGGTAAAAATCTTTCTACTGATAGCATGATGATAATTTCAGAGTTTATTTATCAATATTATTTATATATTACAAATATTATATGGAAACAACTATTTTAATATAAAATACAAATTGGAATTTTTAATATTAAATTAGCTTGGAATACTGTAGGAAAAATCAATCCTGTTACATGGTGAAAAAGCAATTTTGATATCTTAATATCACAACTTTGTAAATTAGCTATTTGAATTCTTACAATTTTATTATCTTTAACTGTTTCAGAATACAATTGATCTAATTTTTCATATATACAAAATAAAAAAATTGAAAAATCTTTGAAGCAATAATAATTATATTAAAATAAATAATTATTTAATAAATATTTATTACTTTTATCAAATCTTGAAATTATATAAACT